ACCCCCCCCCCCCTGTTCCTCCCGCTAGCACTAGCTGATGGTGATGTGATCGAGTTGAGTCCATCGTCAAAAGGTGATGTCCATGTATGGCCATTGCCGTTTGCTGTGTGAAACGTTTCTGCTTCATCAGAACAACCCGTGGTCTGGGGAGTGTGGAACCACATCTCTGTTTTCCGTCTAGTAGTGTGTCGGAATTACACGCAGGTCGTTTTGGCATCTTTATCAGTCCTCCAGGGATCTCACTTGAGTAGGAATATATATATATATATATGATAATAAGTAGTATGTGAATGACTGGACAAAATTTCCCTGGAAGCCGGGCGGTGTGTGAAAATCGCAATCCATTGGGGGCCGGTGTCCAGTTCATCGGATCCNTCAGACGTCCAAGGGGCCCGATACACCTCGATGTCCAATCGAGCCGGTGACCACTGCCACAACCAGGAAGTTGTGTGTGTGGTTCATACCTCTCCTCTCTGTTGTTTTGGAATCAGGGTTTTTGGCCAACTCCCTTAGGTGAATTGGCAGTGGTCCATCAACCCGGATGTGTGCTTTTCGTCCTCTCATTTTCGTGCAAAAAAATTGCCACGAACAGGCATTGAGTAGGACTTCCTCAACAGAGGCTGTTTGAGACGCTTGGTCGTGTGGGTACATTTTGCGAGGTTTCAAGGGAAGAATGATCAGCCGCAACCCCAGACACTCACCCCCGACCGTACTGAGGATGTTGGAGGTATGTTTGGATCTACGGTCGTGGTGGTGGTGGTGGTTGCAGTGCAGTGGTGGTGATCGCACACAGATAACACGAACCAGTTGACAACCAGTGCTTCGCGTTTGGTTTTTTTCATTTTTACTTTTATTGAATATACAAAATTTCAGGAAGGGGGAAGCGACCAATCAAACGGGGCTGTCATTTAACACACATAGGGGGGGGAGTCAGTAGGTGGCGGTGTGGGGGCAATGAGATTCGAACACACACATCCCCGCTTGGTGATAATTTGGTGACGTTAACACCGGGCCACCACCGCCCCTATTAGTTCAAACGCATTCAACCTTATTTTATGTTCTGGTAATTTTTTTCGAAAATAAAACTCCCTCAAGAATGGGGGTTCGTCCGTCTGTCCGTCCTGTCCCCAAAACGGGATCCATTTGTGATACACAACGGCAGACACGATCAGTTAGATAATTCATTTTTAATCGATTGCACTACCACAAATGCGTTGTTCACTTTGTGACTTATTTCTAACCAATCAAAGTATACAAAATCGCATAAGCCCTTCAGGGATAGAATTTTTACAGTCACTAGGAGATCATAATAGTTGATCATGTATTGAAGGGTTGATCCACACCGAATTCACAAGTGTGAAACATGAAACACGTTTGTGTTCTGCTCATGTATCATGCATCTATCACAAATAATCATATCTCATCGAACATGTGTGATTTCCTTCTCCCACTTCCTGTCCAGGTTGCATTGCTAGCCGATTCGGCTCTGTTGACTATCAGCGGAATTCGGGCGCTCAGCGAGTTCAGCCAATCGCGTCGATCTGTCTACACGTTGGCCGGACTAAACCAACCCGGATCTGGGAGGTTCTTCCTTATTCATCCCGAATCACAACTGTATCTGGCCTCGCTATCAGACACACCACCGGGAGCTGTGCTTTTCATCGAAACGGTCACTCAGTCCACTACTGCAACGAGTGAAAAACCACCCACATGCGAGACTGTGCAATCTCCGATCCTAACGTATATGCGCCATGTGGCTACAGTTCAGTGGGGTTCAACTTCGCACACGGACTCTAACAGTCGAGTGGAATTCAACAACTGGTTAACAATCCTGTTGTCCGAAAAATCCACACCGAACCGTAGTGGGAAGAGGTCACGCGATCTGCAGCCATGCGACCATGAAGTGGGTCAGAAACGATCCCGTCCCCGCGACAATGCCTCTACGTTCAATGTGACGAGCTGCAAAGATGTTTCTCAAACAATTCTTAATCACATAGAAGCCGTATCATCACCATCGTTGAAACCGGAGGATTCTTGTCATCAGGCAGGAAATTCAATCCTGACCAAACGACAACGAAAACGACTGGCTGCCAAACGGAAGAAACAATCGTTGCTATCAGTTTGAGATGGTGCACAATAAGCACCAACCGTTTTCCTCCGTCGTCGTGTACATGATTGTATCTATATTCGCGTGTACATAATTGCACATCCAGAACCCAACTATCAGGACTGTCCATCCGACGGCTGCAATATTCACCCAACCGCCGCGGCCGCCACCTGTCTCCACAACTCACTTATTTGGATATAATTGAATTTGCCTCCGTATTTTTTTTTGTATTATCGCCCTCATAACCGTGCGCTTTTTTCGCAACTATATCTGAAAATCTTTTCCTCTCTCTCTCTGTCTGTCTGTCTGTCTGTGGTTTTTGCGTACCAGTCCCGTCTGCACAGATTGCCCAGCAGTGCGTCCCGTCACAGATGATGGTTTGATTACAGACTTTTTGTTAGTCTATCCGATAACCCCCTACCTATCTACCTACCTTATTCCTTACATATGGCTTTCGTTTTTTTTTCAGGCGACTTTGTGGTTTGGATATTGTGAACTTTCATTAAATTTGTCAGATTCCGTTTGTTTGTTTTTTTCAAATCCCGACTTATATCGATCAGACTCGATGTATTTCAGTCACATCTCCCGCCTCCTCGCCATCCATCCACACCTATTTTATTATCTACTCAGACTGTAAAATCGCTATACTCAGTTGTGTGTCGTTGAACAAAAGCTGTGCGGTTGAAAAAGGTATTGATTTCGGTGCGGTCAACCGATTGCATTATCGCCTCTTCTATTGAGCTGTTACATCGTGTTTCGTGGGTGCTTCCGGGTGGAGTTCTGATTACACCTTGAATCACCACACTCACTCGACTGATTCAGTGTCATGCGTTTCTCATCTATAGGTTTCTAGAGTTCGCGTCAAATAGGTCCAAACACAATGCATCATTCCAATTAGCCAATCCCAAATTGCCAGTTCTTACTGCTGCGTTCAGTTCCCCGTTTGGCTGTTGTGTACCACATATTACAGTACGTTAGCGAAACTACTCTGGTTGTGTTCCCCGAAAAACTTGTCTGTCGGTTGTTTTTTTAAGGGGGGGAACAGCAAAATGGACTTCTTTGGATACCTCATTAAATCACGGAATATGCTCATTGATTGAGAACACAGTGTAGACGAACATATGTTTTCGGTAAATTCCTTTTCAAGCCTTTACAATCACATTTATATGAAATAAGTTCGATAAGATCAAACGAAAAGGTGAATGACTCATGTGTTCGGCAATGAGCCCAAGAGAACTCAAAATTTGTTGTGCGCAGTTTCGATCACACAACCAAAGTGATTACGTCATGGTCGGTTTCGTACGTTAACGACCGCAGAGACGATTAGCATCCGACTCCTGAAGCCTGAGCTGTGCGCACAACGCAAACTGATTCAAGCTCTCAATCTCCCATGGCCAAGAGAAGAGTAAATTGCTTGTTCATACGACCATAACGTAATCACTTTGGTTGTGTGATCGAAACTACGCACAACAAATTTTGAGTTCTCTTGGGCTCATTGCCGAACACATGAGTCATTCACCTTTTTGTTTGACCTTATCGAACTTGTTTCGTATAAATGTGATTGTAAAGGCTTGAAAAGGAATTCACCGAAAACATATGTTCGCCTATGCCTCATTAAACCGCTTAACACAATATTTTTGGTGGAAACAATGTGGAATGATTTTGACTCGGGATGCGAATTTCGGTATTGGTGCGTGTGCTTTCTCTGAGAGCTAGAAGTGTTGTTGTTCGCAGACGTTTCACGAACCAGGCTAGGTAACATCATCAGTGTTCAATCGTGGGATAGAGCAACGGCCCCAATCATCCTCATCGTACAGCGAAGCTAGCTTCACTGATCGCTGCCAAGCTCACAATGTACACAAATCAAGTGATAAAGCACAAGATGGAGAGGGATTGGGCCTACTTGGAGGGAGGCAAAAAAGAACCTCCATGTTCAACACAGAGCACACAATCTAAGTGTTCGTGCACACCTTTTATTTTCAAGCATTCTGCCTTGTTAAGAAATGACAACAAGAACGTCACGGCTGTCGACTAGTCGTCATATCCTTTGATGTCTCCAGCCGACCAGTTGTGTAGTCTTTCGGACCCCAACCTGGAAGACGGGAGACACCGATTCTACCTAATCGCTCTGTGCATTTCTTCATGCCTCGCTTCCACGTCATCTGTNCCACCACGCGGTTTCTTCCAACTTGGAGCCGTAACTGTGAATAAGGCGCGATGGCTGGACATGCGCAATACGTCCCCAATCCATACCTATTACTGTTGATATGCCTGGAGACATTTAATGATTCGATTTGAATGATGCTGATACATGGAAGTGAAACTGAAACGGATTGCCCCGAGAAGCAATTATGGACAGATTCGCGAATGATGATGGGTTCATAGTGAACAATTTTGGAAATTGTTCTTTTTTAGATTTCAAGGTTCGAGCCTTCATACATCTAGAATATGCATGAGTTTTTCCTGCTTGAATGGGAGAAAGTGAGTTGCTGCAATATCACGTGAACTGCCCGAGAGACGATATGGAAACTGGTAANGTCAGCATTTTGAAATTCCACACGCTATCATCGTGTACGCTCCAAGAAGCGTATCCTTCATTTCTCCACCGCTTCGAAAGCCTCAGTATGGTCAGGGGTGGGTGTCTAGGGTTGCGGCTGATCACTCTTCCCTTGCACCTCGCGGAAGCTTCCATATGACCAAGCGTCTCAAATAGCCTCTGCTTAGGAAGCATTACTCACCGCCTTCCCGTGGCGGAGGAGATTTCTCACCTAAGTGAGAGGACAAAAAGCCCACATCCGGGTTGGTGAACCAGTGGTAGTTCACAAAGGGGAGTTGGCCAAAAACCCTGATTCCAAAACAACCCAAAAGGAGGTGTAAGAACCACCATTCACATCTTTTCGGTTGTGGCCGTGGTCACCGGCTCGATTGGGCATCGAGGTGTATTGGGCACCTTGGACGTCTGACCCCCCCAAAAGCGTATGATCCGATGAAATGGACACCGACTCCCAATGTACCGCGGTTCTCACATACCACTCCGATGCCTTGCGGATTAGGCTTCGGTTGTGGATTCCTCACGAAAATTCACCTGCCTTGGCCTGGGCAACCTGGCAGTATTCAGCCCACAAACCAATCATGGAATGATATATATATATTTATATATATATATATATATAAATATATATATAGTTTTGAGGGTCATTCCCAAAGTTACCGAAACCAATGTGGACCATTTAATAAGATGTCTGTCCGAGATTGGAGAGAACCATATATTTTTTCGTTGCGTTTTGACTTGGATTTAAATGGTCAGTTTCTGAATACACTTATCAAATTTCGTTGTACTGCTTTGTCCTTCACTGTATTGGGAAGGTCTCTGATTTGGTAGGTTACTGTTATCAACGTGGTCCCATGTCACGGACGAGAAACGGTAGCACTATGGGATGGGATGAGTTTTCTCGTGTCCAGTATTGCTCGCAATAAATAACACAGGATTCTGAAAGTAGACGTGTGACGTCGCCACTAACTAGAGTCACTGCCCTTGTTCGTCTTCTGATATTGAATTCTAGCAGATGCGTAGAAAATGAAAATCTCAGTTCCTAGCTCGCATGGGCTCTCCAGTATTATTGAACTGAACAATTGAGCAGAGTACATAAAATTGGTATGCCCTGGAACATTGACTCGAAAACCCTTTTTCACTCTACTACCCAGCAGACCGTTTCGGGCAAACTGGATGGGTCCCTACTGGCGTTAGGACAGCATAGTACTTCATCGCTCAAAGTTGCCCTTCTCAAATCAAGTCAAGGAATGGCTTTATATACCTCGAAAGGTGGATATTCAGCAACCACATAACCACAGTAAGTGAACAATAAGTGGAAAAACAATGTAATACAGCAATTAAAGGACAGCAAAAACAAAACTTCAATGGCATACCAGGGTGTTGATGATTGGTTTAGCATAGCATTTTGCTCAGATTTTCTGCAGCGAGTTCATAGTTTATAAGGGATCTGGTGAGGTAAAGAACAGTAGATCGCCTGTAAGCTTCAGGGAACGCCTTTACAAGTTTGTGAGTGGAACTGGTGGATGGATGAGTGAGAAAGACACTGACTAAGGGTGGAATAAAGAGGATGAGAAATAACAGATAGGATCTTGTTTGAGAATTTTTTACAGGACTTGAAATGATGTGTCACCACATACTATACCAGATGTTCACGTGGTATGTGACTACAAACTGACAGAAATTTGAGGGATCGGGAAATGAATTTGAGGTCCTTGTTCAAAAGACCAGGGAAGATAACAGGGGACCCATAAAGCCACTGAGGCAAAACGAAGGCAAGAACAAAATGCCTTATGAGATAGATGGTTTGGAATGGAAAGTGATTTAAGACGTAAAACATAAAATGTGAGCCTCCTGACCTTCAGAAAAACGTCATTAACGTTGTCAAACCAGGGGAGATTACGGTTGAAAGTAAAGCCAAGTTATTTGACAGACGGTTGGCGTTCCATCTGGTCACTGAGGTTAGATAAAGGCGGGCTGGCATTTAACAATTCATCATACATTTGCCCTTTCAAAAAGGAAAAAACTTACGTCATTACCTTTTGAGGGTTCATGCGGAGGTTCCTTTGTTAAGACCACTCAACTATTTCTGACATATTTTTTTATGGAGAGTAGTTTGAAATGATGAGTTGGGGTAGGACAGTCCGAATATTATATCGTCTGCATACTTAACGAGAAGAGAAGATTTGCTCACAGACATAAAGGAAATGTAAGCAGAAAATAGAAAAGGGGATAAAATAGCGCCTTGTGAGGAGGGCAGCAGTGAAGATGTACGACCTTTGTAGCGTGTGAACTGCTGACGGTTGGGAAAATAGTTAACCAAGAGTTCAATCGTAGAAGGTTGAACTACGCCCGATGAGAGGATATTTAACAAAGTTTGTCGATCAATTGTGTTGAAAGCATCACTGTAGTCAAGAAAACATGCGTACAGCCTTGCCTTTCTTTTATCCGGGTTGGATAAAACAAA